GTTTTTTGGTCCTTCAAGTTTTGGTCACCAAAAGAGAAAACATCTTTCTAACTCATGTTAGGCCAAACCCAAGCCCAAACTCAAGGCTAACTTGGTCCAAGTCTTCTTATAATGTTTATGGACTTATCTAATCCACTTGGGTTAACCTGAAACTACTAACCCGTGATTTAGGGCATTAGAACTAGAGCTTATTCAATAGTGTAATTATTGATGACATAGTACCAGGTTTTCATCTCCGACACATTGTTGACCAACGAAATCCCCGCGATATGAAAGATCATAAAAAAATGTTTCGTCATATTCGAGCGTGATTGACCTCCACGCTGTTTACGAATATCAAACCACTATTCACTTAGTACTGAAGCACTACTCTGACGATGAGTTTTTCGATCGGGTCATCATGGAAATAAGGTACTCGGAGGCTGGTGTAGTGGTAGTGGTGCGACAGATCGCTCAGGCCGTAGGGGTTAACAGTGATTCATAGGTATCTAAAATCGGAAAATTGCTTGTTCTTGAGCAAAAACAAAGATTCGATGATAAAGATAATGAATTATGGAGTTCAGTGGATGAATTCACTGATCCAATTATGGGTTGTTTGGATCTATTGGTTATATTTCACCGGATGTTCTTTCTCAATGGAAAATCACCAAAGAGTGATATCCAGTTATCGGGTTATTTGGACCCATTGATTTGTCTTCTTGCTCCTTATTGGATTTGGCATTCTGCAATCTTAATCTTTGGAAATTGAATTTTAGTTTGTATAACTGAGATTACCCAGCTTCATTTTATCTCTAGATGCGTCCCTCTTATTTTTCTCTGAACTTGTGGTGTTATTATTTGTTATCAAAAATTTGAATTCTTTCATTATTCTTGAAATACGACATGAGTCCTTGAAAGAAGGAAAATTGAGTGGTGGAGCAATAGAGCAAAGATGTTTAAGAAGAAGTAGAGAGAAGATGAACAACAATGGGGTTGAGAAGAAAACCTATTAAAAATGGATAAATTGAAATATTATCCCTAAACTAATTTGAATTTATAAAAAGACATATAATCAGTATTTTATCTAAAGTTTAGGAGTTAAAATAAAAACGAAACCATTTTACTAATGGACCACGTTATCAAACTAATGACATTCAATGTTCAAGTGACTAAAGCTTAATAAAACGATAACGTAAGTGACTAAAACTTATGTTCTTTAAATTTAGTGAGCAAAAATATACAAATATGAATGGAAAGTGACGAAAACTTAATCCACGTATTATCTACATGGAAATGATGTAATTTTAATTTTATATATTTATCGTGTCAAGTCAGTAAACCGTTAAAGGTTTGACAACTATTAACCTTCATTGACCACGTCTTAATTAAAAGGAAACAAAAGTGACTAAATTTTATGTTTTCTGAATTTAGTGAGAAAATGTTTATAAAACTCAAATGAAAGTGATCATTTTGTAGTTGACCCTTTTATTTATTAAACTATAATTCAAACAAATTTAAACGAAAGCAAATTTTTTAATGAAATCCCTTTTGAACTGAATTATTGGAATAATGATTCAAACCATTGACTTAAAAGCATCTTATTAAATAATATATTTATTTATACATTCATTAAATAAATATATATTTATGGATGTATTAATATATTATCTAAAAACATTTAGTTTGATGTAAGATCTATATGGTTTTAACTAATTTAAGTATTCATATATCTTTCAACAACCATTTTGCACATTTGCAAATTCATAAAATAACAATATCTTTCTATAAATAATATGATCCATAGTAATTAAAAAATAAAGAATAAACGATGTGTTTGGTGACATAAATTTGATGATTTGAATTTCATAGTGTATTGTTAATTTTGAGAAGGAAGTTCATACATTATATATAAGTTAATTGAAAATAATGCGATTATTGTATTTAATTCAAATTTGATAAGTATTGATCTAATTTAATTTTATAAAATTAAGATTTTTATAAGAAAATCAAGTTCGAGTTAGATATTTTGAAAGATTATTATATTAGATTTAGGTCTAAAGTAAAAAAATCTAACCCAACTCAAGAATATTAGTATAATCGACATTTATATATTTAGATATAACTGCTATAATATATATAAAAAAATTCTTAATTAGATCCTTATTTGACCTAATCAAAAATCTTAATCACTTCTCTCTTAAAAATCTTAAAGTCGTCTTTCTACTTTTTTTCATTATTGGTTGATACACAACGACACAAGCCTTTATACTGGTTGCAGTCGATATTTTTTATTTTTCCTTTAATTTCTTATATCAAATATTTATTTTTTATTTTTTTAGTTTTCAATAACTTTGCTTTTAAGATACGATTTTATCTGTTTTTATGACATTCTATACCTTCATGATATATTTTCGGTCGTTTGACTGTTATTTTAGTTTATGTGTTTTAGGGTTGAATTTGACATCGTCGTGACTTATTAAGATTGATGCTTATTTGTTATCATGATCTTCTATTTTTGGACCATCAAATTTGATTTGGATATACGATTTGTGTTCATAAATAGTTTTTTTTTTCACTTCACTCGATTTTGATTTACGGTTTATCGGTGGTCTTTCAATAGTTTTATTCCTTTTTTGGTTAGCTTGCCAATGCGGTAAGATATGTTCATATCTATATGTTGTTTAAGTCTTTAACATATGATCATTGTGTGATCTTAAATATTTAATTATTACTTTTATTGATTATAAAAATATCCTAATTATTTAATTTTTCATCTTTCTCGTAAAATTAGCTGGTTTATAAAAATATACAAACGTTTACCTTAAAATCAATTGAATAGACCAAAGTTTCAATTTAAATCATGATTATCCCTAAACTTACCGTTATTTTTCTTATATTATTATTTTTAAAATGTACCTGTTTTTTTTTTTTTTTTTTTTTTTTTGCGAAGAATGCAGCTGTTTTTTTAACCAGTTAAGCCTATAAATAATTATAATCGGCGTGGTAAAGGTTGCAAGCATTGAAATGAACAGTTTGTCAGCTTCCTACTCTTTTAATTTTCCCGGGAACCCAGTTTGGAAATCTCAAAAGCCATGGTTTTTGCCGCGATAATTGGTAGACAAGCGTCACCTTTTGGGTAATAATGGAAGACAATCTGTTGTTCGAAAATGGAAGATGATTACAAAGAACTCCCGCGATGAAAAAAAAAGGAAAAAGAAAACACCGGTGAAATGTTTCAATCTTCAACTTTTGTCTAATGCTTTCTGCCTTTCCAGGTTTACAGGGTTAGGTGCTCAGTTGTTTTCCTTTTCCCCTCAGTTTCGTTCCTATCTGTATCTTTAGGCTTTCAGTTTGTTTTGTTTCTTTCAATTTTCTCCGTTTTAACATTGATTAGATTCATATGATAATCTAAAATAAGATCTAAAACTAATCTGTTCACATTGGTGTTCATTGACTTGTTATTTTCCATGTTTTAGATTTTGGTTTGTCAAATACTAATTTATTAATCCTCAATGTCGATGACTATTTCGTTTCAGAAATATTGTTGTTGAAAGATTACATATTTTAAGCCCTCTTTTTAATATTTGTCAATTGGCATTAATTTTTAGGGTTGAAGGGTAGGTGCTTACTCATTTCCTTTCCAGAAAATGCTGCTCATATGATGGATATGTCGTATTCAACATAATTTCTTTGTTATTCAGAGAAATACTATAGGGTTGATATTGTTTATGAAAGTCAATATGGGCTTTTTTTTCCACAACAATTTGGGTTATACTCAAATTGCATTTGAATATGTTGTCATTTTTAGTCAAGATTCTTTGTTTCGTGGCATTTTCTGGTTGGTTGCTTTGAAGTTTCCTGGAATTTTGGTTGTGGCATGCAAGGATGATCTTTTAAGAAATCGTTTTTTTTTAACTTTCAGAGAGCTTATGAAATTTAGACTGGATTTTTTCCACATGAATTTTGGAACTTTGTGGTTCCTCTTTTGGATGGGTCGAGTACTTTCACCTAAGGAAATAGTTGGGGCTGATATGTGATTTTATTTTAATGACAAGAAACTTTTGAGTCAAGATTTTCCTATGGTGCATGCATTTACGTGATGCAAGACATGATGGAACATACCTCACTTGACTTATCAAAAAGAATAAAAAACTTGTATCTGCTTGGGGGGGTCAATCCCTGTAGTAGACTCTAGATTGTGCTGCATTTCTACTTTAGCATTCATGTGGCAGTATAATTTTTCCAATTTGTGGCTAGGTAATCAAGTCGTAAAGGTCCATAATTATTAATGCAATGGTTTCACATATAAGTTAAAGGTTGATTCTATTGGCAGCTTTTATGAAGTGACTGGAAGTTTAACTTGTATTAGCTCTTCTGGAAGATTGAATCGCAGGGGAAAAACTTCATCTTAATATTTAGGGAGTGTCTTATCATTCACTTCCTAGGAAATATTTTGAGAAGTGGAATTAAGTGAGAGTGCACCATGCATAAGGCTCAGTAGGATCTCTATGTTCTTTTAGAACATTTCATTTAGACTGTTATATTTTGCTTTCCCTTCCCTTTCAAAAGAGATGGTGCGACGTTAATTATTTCAAATGCAAAAAATTGAGGAAAGTTCGGATCCATTTTCCTTGTGTGATAGAAGGCAAGAGCATCTCACAAAAGAGGAAAAAGGAGTAAAGGAGGAAATTAGGTGAAGCTGTGGAAATAGACATGTCATTCTCTGCTGAATTTCTATTGAAGTATTAATGCATTCTGTAGTCCAATAACTAATATCAGAAAGAAAAGCTCTGAACACCTACTTCTGGTTTGAAGGGGATCACTTAATATCTCTATTCTTCCTAGGCTAACACATATCCATAAATCGAGGCTGAGTGTTAAATATATCCTTCAATGTTAAGTTTTTGATTGCTGATTGACTGCAGTGTGATCCTATATATTTGTAATACAGATTGGAAACAATTCTTGTTGCTACTCTTCTAATGTTGAAGCAAGAAGATTATAGGAACTTGTCTTTTTAGAACATGTGTATGTAACCAAAATGTGTGTATGTGTTATGGCTTGCTACTAGGGGTTGATTAACCCTTCAATGCATAGGAAAAAAAACTGTGTCTAGACTACTTATGTGTCTCATGTAAGCTAGCGCAGCTTGATTGACAAGTTATGGAATCAAGGGTTTTTATTGAAAGGCATGAATTAATGTTCTTTCCCTTTCAAAAAGATATTTAACACTTTTAAGGATTGCAAATGCCATGTTGAAGTAAAAAATTGAACCATTTTCCTTGTACTATAGAAGTAAAGAGCATCACACAAAGAGGGGAAATGAAATAAAGGAGCATTAGGTGAAGGTGTGGAAAATAGTCTATCTCTTTTTGTTATAGATATTACTATTAAAGATCAATGCATGCATTAGTCCAACCACTACTACATCTGGTTTGAAATGGTCAAACACACGTATACTTCCAAGCACTGACTTTTGCATGTGTCACTTCCTTGACATTGATAATATATCCAGTTGATGGTGGCATATAGTTTATTATAGAAACTTTTAGTGTGTTGTTTGACTGTGGCATGGGTCTATATATTTGTCGAAGTGGATGCGTTGCATTCTTACCACTCATCCCACACCGTAGCAAGGTTAGAGGAGCTTGTGGTTTTGCTAACTATCCAAAACCAAAATGTACAAGCTATCAGCTTGCAGTTCTATGGCTTGTGGAATTTCCTTGCAGACTATGGTCCTGAACAGGTACATATGCTCTTGAAATTATAGTTCAAAATTTTTCTTCCTATCTCCTGCTGTTATTTTATGCATTGCACTTTCTAAAATTGTTCCATTGTTTGTTGACTGGCATACAGTTGGAAAGTTCGTAATTATAAGCAGGGAAGTGGTATGTGCCATGTATTGCATATGTTTGTATCCATTTTTGTTTGTTGTTTTTCATTTTCTTATTAGGTTTCATTAGCTACAAATTGGCATGAATTGTTTAATTTGTCTGATCACAGGTCGTTGCACAAATGTACCCCGCAATGTAAACTTGGAAAAGCTGCAAAATAACTATTTGTTTCCTGAGGTTTTTGTTAAAATCTCATATTACTTCCTTTTTGCTAGGAATTAGGTCATCTATTCTAACCAGTTTAAAATTTTAGCTTTTGCATGGTAGCAGTCCACTATAATAAGAGTGGAGAACACTTGTAGCCCTTCTTTTGTCAATGGTTACGGACATTTATTCTCACACTGCTGTTTTTCTTTCTAAAAGGATAGAAATCATAGTTTCCCTCCCTTTTTTTAATGATTGAGTTGATTCTTGAAGAACAAATAGTTTCTTTTTCAGCTTGCCCCTTGGCTTCATCCATTCTACCAAGCTCTTTACTTATTCTAAAACTACTCTAACAGATTTCAAAGCGGGAGCTACAGCACCTGGAAAAGTACCCAAATGCAAAAGTGATTAGCCTTGGAATTGGTGACACCACAGAGCCCATTCCTGAGAAAATCAGCCTTAGCATGGCTAATGTAAGTCTTGATCAGTTCCAGTCTGCTGTAATTTGTGCTGATATAGTCTTTTAGGTTAAGAATCCGAGATAAGGATCTTGATTTTTTTTTATAAGATTTGAAGGTCTCTTTAAAAACCTCCTTCTTGATTAATGGAGCTTGTAAAGAAGCTTCTTAATCATCGGAAGGAGGAAAAGAGTGCCTTATAATTTCATTGAAGAAAATAAGAATTACAACCTTGGAAAGAGAAATCCAAGTAGAACCCTTACAACAATTCTTGAGCCTTAAAACCGAACTATAGAAGTCAACAACATAATAATCAACCTATACCAGCCTTTGCTAGAGCATCGGCATCCATATTAGCTGTCAGATAAGGATCTTGATGGGACTGGCTTATGTTAACATTAACTTCTTTTAGAATTTTCAAGCGCAAGAAAAGTTTTGATGGCCTGCTAGTTGATAGCAGTCTAGTTCAGGGTTCATCCAGTGCAACTAACTTGTTCAAAGATGTTATCATCCCTGCATTTGAAATGTTTCTGAACTTGTCAATATATTTTGGCAGTCATCATTCTGTCCTGAGTTTAAGCATTAATTCTTAAGAGAGATATTCCTAAATAAAGAGTTCATGGGATTATACACCTGTCTTCTTGCTTTCAGAAAGTGTTTTCTTTACTTTTTTTTACTAAAGGCCAGTGTTGTCTTGGAGCACAACTAGGTGCTGCACGCAAGCAGTGAAGCACCTATAATCAATATTTTATGCTTTTTGGAGATATCTTAAATAATCCAATGTCTTGCCTTTGTGATGTGAGAAAAAGGAAAATTGTTTCATTAATTGAGAGATGAATATTTCACTTCTATGTTATTTTGCAGTATGCACATGCCCTTTCAACTGCTGAAGGTTATAGAGGATATGGAGCTGAGCAAGGGAATCAGGTATATTGGCTTTGTTTCATTTATTCCAGTTTATTGTAAAGAAGACTTGTTTGTTAGCTGATTATCGGATTCTTTTCTTCATTTCTCGAGGTTCAACATATCTGTTACCGTCATTAATTCTGATTCTTGGACCTTTCTGTTTCTTTGTAGCCAAATCAAGCTAAGTAATCAACGGTAGTATGATTTTCTCTTCACATATTAAATTAATTTTATAAGCCTAGCTGGAAATTCAGTGGAATCATTTACTTATCCTTCTTCCAGTATACACAGTTTTGAAACATAACCATGCTTACATGTGCAAGATTGAAGGTTACACTTCTCTAATATACTGAATTACCTTTTGATCTCCGAGTGTAATTTTGCACTGCTTCTGTGTATCTTATCGTGCTTTTCTAGGAATGATTCTTTAAGCAACTGTTATCAGGAAAGTTTTCAAATATTAACTTTGTATACATAACAGGCTTTGAGGAAAGCAATTGCAGAAACATTCTATAAAGATGTTGCCATAAAGGACACGGAAGTTTTTGTATCAGATGGTTCTCAGTGTGATATTTCCCGCCTTCAGGTGTCTCTTTCCTTCCTATTTGTTCCTTTAGCAACATCTTTCTTTCTTTCTTTTTTGAAGATATCCTTTAGACAGCATCTTATGCCAGTAATCTTACAACCGAGCTAAACTGTAGATTTATTGTGTTGAAAGTACTAAGCACTCTTCTCTTTCAATATTTGCAGCTGCTTCTAGGTTCAAAAGTGACAATATCTGTGCAAGATCCATCTTTTCCAGTGAGATTATATGCTTCCCCCTGTTGAACTTATTATTAATTATCATGTGGGACGAATGTTGCTTGTCTAGTAGCAAAGAATATAACTCATTTTTACATTGAAAATAATTACTATTTTGCTCCAAAATTAGGTGTTACAGGAACTGATGTAGCTTTTAGTGTGGTATAGAAGGCAATAATTTATGGTGGATCCTTGTATCAGAAATATTCAATTTGAAAAGTGTTATTTGTAACAGGCTTATATAGATTCAAGTGTCATTATCGGGCAGGCTGGTGATTTTCAAGACAAAACCGGGAAGTATCAGAACATCGAGTACATGCAGCTTGGGCCTCAAAATAATTTTTTCCCTGATTTGAGAATCACTCCAAGAACAGATATCATCTTCTTTTGTTCGCCAAATAACCCTACAGGTCATGCTGCAACAAGGAAGCAATTGCAGCAGCTTGTAGATTTTGCAAGGGATAATGGATCAATTATTGTTTTTGACTCCGCTTATTCCACATATATCTCCGATGATAGTCCTAAATCAATCTTTGAAATTCCTGGTGCCAAAGAGGTACCTTGCTGACATCTCTGAGATGGCTCAGACAATATATAGTTTGTTAATTTGCTTCATGAAGCTGTGTATATTATCTTTAGACTGAAAAAGGAAAATAAAATTTCCTTAGGTTGCAATTGAAATTTCATCCTTCTCCAAGTTTGCTGGGTTCACGGGAGTTCGTCTCGGCTGGACTGTAGTCCCTGAAGAACTCTTGTTTTCTGGTGGGTTTCCTGTCATACATGACTTCAACCGCATTGTATGCACCTGCTTCAATGGAGCATCCAATATAGCTCAGGCTGGTGGCCTAGCATGCCTTTCTCCGGAAGGTTTTCAGGTAAGTGTAAATACTCTGATGTAATATTCTTTTAATTGCTCGATGATATAGTATTCTAGAAACCAGAACCGCTGAATCCGATGATATAATTCTCAGGCTATCCGGGCGGTGATCGACTACTACAAGGAGAATGCAAAGATATTGGTAGACACATTTGCCTCGCTTGGTTTAGAAGTCTATGGAGGTGTCAATGCCCCATATGTTTGGGTGCATTTTCCGGGTTCAAAATCATGGAACGTGTTTACGGAAATCCTCGAGAAGACTCATATAATAACAGTACCAGGATCTGGTTTCGGTCCCGGTGGCACGGAGTATATCAGAATCAGTGCTTTTGGGCAAAGAGAGCTCGTCATAGAAGCATCTTGGAGGCTGGAAAAACTCTTGTCCAAGGGAAAATCCCCCTTTTTAACTGTCTAGAACAAAGAATGAAGTGGTTTTCACCGGCCATGCCATTACCATGGTATATGTAATCCCAAACTGATTTGGAACTTTAAGCTATATTCTACAAGAACTATATCCATCATCTGGTATTTCTCTTCAAAGTGTTGCGGTTCAATAGAATTTCTTTACATTAAACAAGGATACAAGAGAAAAGTTTGCCTCTTGTATAATCAAATCTTTCTGGTGAAACAAATAACAGCAACAGAATGGTTTTCAGAAAAAAAATTCGATGGAGGCACTAGATATTGAGACTGACAACTTACTAGTTCAAAAGATCCGACCGTCCTTGTAGCAACAACCCTCCAAAGAACTGTTTTGATTGCTGTTGCAGGTCCTGCAGACTCGGGATGTGCATCAGCGTAGCTGTCCGATGACGAAGCTGATGGTGAGGAAACATGGCTTTGCAAATCGGCTTGCAGGATAGAGATACTGTTGCCATCTTTAGTAATCACATGAATCTTTTCTATTAAACCAGAAAGCAAATAGGGAGAGCCTGAATCAGTGAAGTCGGGAATCGGGACCTCTCCTACTACAACTTTCTAAGCATCATCTTGGTAATCATATACCTTAATCTTCACACTTTCAGGAAAATTAGACAGATCAAGTGCATACAACTCGCCATCCACGGCGATGCTCAATTTCGTTCCACCTTGTCTTGCAGGCCAACCGTCACCCATGCCTGCCGGCATTTCAACCCAAGAATTTACATCAGGATCATATACCTCCCCTCCGACATCAACAAAAAATGGCCAGCAATATAAACTCTGAGGCATAAATAATCTTCCCCTATATGTTGTCAATCCCGTGGCAATCGGTTTGAGTATATCAGCCAAAAATGCAGTGGGTAGAACCTGAGCTTTCGAAAATGGCATGCTCGGAATTTGGGACCATACACCAGTACGGGGATTCAATACTTCAGCAGACTGAAGTGGAGTTAAACCACCATGGCCCCTGGTAACCCCTCCGATGGCGTATAGCCTATCATTTAAGATGGCAGTCTTACAATAGGCTCTAACGGTTAACATTGAACTCACTTCACTCCATGAATTTAGAACTGGATTATACTGCCAAACACACCTCAGGGCAGAAGCTCTAGAGAATCCTCCTAACACAGAGGCAGCCATCAACAGCACCCATTGCACATCCACAAAACGGCATTCTCTCAAATGCATTCTTCCTCCCAAGACAAGCCCTAACAACATCTGCAATTTTAGTGCCGGATCCGACAACATTCCACATCCGGAGACTAGCCAAACCTGTAATACCCAAAAATTTAGACAATGACCAAAATGAAAATTTGGAAAGTTTGAAGGTCAAAGTAGAAAGTTGGAAAATTTAGGGAATTAAGTAATAAATTTCCTAAAAAGAATTTTATTCCATAAATAGATAGTTTACTCTTGAGAGTGGGATTTTATAGAAATCATATTTTTGGATTTGGAATTTTAGTAAAGAAAAATTAGAAAGGGTTAAAGTTCGATAAGGAATCAGTAATTCAGATCGAATTGGAATTTTACAAAAATTTGAAGGATGTTATAAAATGGTTGGAAATATTATTTTAATATTTTGGAAATGTGCAATTTTTCAGATTTAACCGAAACAGTGGAATTTAGTGACTAAAATGCAAGATTTGAAAAATTTAGGGGAAATTTCGGAAATGAAAGTCAAAATAATTCAGCTTTGACTTTGAAATATGATAAGGATGAGTTGTCATGATTTTATGGTGAATAAGAAGATTTATTAAGGGTGATTTGGTCTTATCCCAATTAAATGAATATTATATTCATTTATAAAATTAGATGACCCTTATTCCCATATGTAATGGGGTAAGGGGGAGGTAGGATAGTAGGCTGCCCCCAACGCCAGGTTGAGAGCAGCTTCCGTAGGAGACCTCCGAATTATGAAATGCCCTACGTGGAATATAATTTAAACAAAGATGAAATGCACCCAACATTTCACCCAAATTGCTCATCTTCTTCTCCAACCTTGCGTGGGTTTTCTCCTAAGGTAAGAGAAAGCTTCAACTCAATTTTCAAGCATTTTACTTAGGATTTTGAGTATGTTGTAAATAGAAAATTGTTACATGTGAAAAACTCTATCATTTTGTATCAATATTGCATGATAATCTCGCTATCCCAAATCTAAGGGTTTGTGTTCATATAAGGGATCACGAAATTGATGATGAATATGGATGTTTGTGAGGTAGTAGATTCATATTCAAGCATGTATGATGATTAGAACATGTTTAGTCTTTCTACAACTTGTTCTTTAAGTTTCGGCCATTGATGGTTTGAGTGAGAAAAATTATGGAAAAATTATATAAGGGTTGGAAATGATGAAGTATTTTACAAGCCTTAGAAAATTTGAGGACTATTTTATAATTTTTGAAAAGTTGGGGATCAATTCATAAATTCTGAAAAATTGATGGGTTGTTGTGTAAGTGTTGTATAATTGATGTACTATATTGGAAATTGTTGTTTGGGAATTGAAATGAGTGTTAGAATGTGAAATTTGATTATTTTTGGAAGTTTGAAAAGATTTGTGGTTTAAGTACAACAATTTTATAGTTGGGGTACTTAAATGTAATTATGCTTTTGTAGAAGCATTTGAATGGAAATAATTTCAATGCTAAAATTATTGGTATTAAGAATTTAAGTGGTAAAATGGTGAAAGACCATTTTGTGTAAATTGGAAAAGTTGGTTCCAATGTTTAAAGGAATTATTAAGTGTTAAGTATTTTGATAGAAAATGAGTTCAAGTATATTATGGAGTTATTTTGGGATATGTTTATGTTAGTAAAATACTAACATATGTATCATTATGAAATTGTGATTTATACAGATTATGATTGATTTGCGATTGAAGCAAGTCAAGTATAAAAGGGTATATTGTGGACAATAGTGAGGCACATATTTTGAAATATATAAAGTGTCAAGGTGAGTGCAATACATGCATGAAATTATACATGGATGTTTTATACATCATCATGAAGACTTGCGATAAGTCAATCTTGTTTATGTTGACATGATATTTATGTCATTTATCATATATTTGATATATTCTAAATATGTCAAAGGTTGAAAATAAAATGCATTGAACACTGATTTTTGCATATGATGTTATCATGAATATATATGATTTTTATCATGAATGTTATTTCGGGTATGAACTGTCCAATGTTAAATATTTATAATATACTTTGTCATGGATGGATCAAATAAAATAGATTGTATGTCCAAGTAAATCATTGAGGGACAGAGTATAGTTGGCATGCCATAGAGTCCAGCAACAGGCTGCATGTGGGATACACTAAAGGATACCTATTGTATAAAGTCATTGAAATTCATGCATGAATTGTATTACATTGTTTATTGTTTTAATTGCCTCACTAAGTATATATTTAGCGTGTGATGATTTTCACGCGTAGGTAAAAAGCCAGTAGTGGAATAAAGAGTTCAAAGTGACATCAAGCATCGAGGAGTATATTTCAATATCAGTAAGACATCCTATGATGGAATTTGACTTAGATAGTGACATGTAATTATTAATGTTCAATTAATTTTGTTGAACAAATTTGGAAACAAAATGGTAACCTTAGAGTGAAGAAAGTTTAAGTTTTTATGAGTTTTATGTAATTTTCAGAAATTACTGTAGCAGTACATCGATACACATTTTTTATTCGAAAGTTTGATTCATCGATACACTGTTCACGTTACAATAGCAGTGCATCGGTGCACTGTTCACTATTCATAAAAAATCTTTTGAATTAAATTTGTTATAATGAAACATAATTCGTATGATATAATATTTTTATAATATCATTTACTATTTTAAAAAAATAAATTTTAAATCACTTTTGAAAATATTAAATGGTTTTTAAAAATTCGAGTGACATCTATAATCTATATAGGTATAATTATACGTGTTATGAGTGTTACAAAACATTTCCTTAATTTATCTTCTAAAGTAACATTGGGCATTTGAGGCAACCTCTTGCGACCTTCTAGACAATGGGCCCAAAGCATACCACAAAAGCTTGTCGGATACAACCTTGGTCAATATATAGAGCCATTCCTCGGTTGTTCCAAGTTCTTTCCTCTTATTAAATAATTCAGTACTCGTGATGGCAGCTTTCCAGGCTCGAGACACTAGCCTCGCATTCAAGTAATTAATCCTTGGAACTCTGGCAAGAATCTGATAAGATATCTCATCAGGAAGGCTGGAAATCAATCTCGGATTCTCTTCGAAACCAGATGATGACAACTGCCTTTTGCACGTTCCATCTTGGGAAACATCCAAGGGCTCACACCACCCCTGGAATTATTTAGACTTAAGAATGATCCCATCGATATCTAAATTGATCGCAATATATTAATAAATCAGTGCCAGAGCAGCCTTTGATAGCTATTGATAGTAATCCACACAAAAGTTTATCCTACGTGAACCTGCTCAAAACCATCAAGACTTGAATTAAAAGGCGAAAAAGCTTTAGTTTCAGTTTCGATATAAGCATCTATTCAAAGAGAAACAATAAAAAATAAGCATTACTCAATGGATTGTTTATCAGAAGTTACTTCCCCAAGCATACTTGATTTTTTCTCAGAAACCAAATAAAAGTCGAATAGAAAAGGTCAATGCTTTGATCACTTCTCATCCAGCAAGAACAAAAGAGAAATCCCCAAATTCCCAATTTCAGCAATTCAACAAGGTTTCTTCACAAAATCCGCAATTAAAAAATTGCAGTAATCGTAAAGTTGAGACAAGTAACAGCTAAATTAAGAACGAACAATTTATCTACGATCAAGCCATGAAACGAATTGAAGAAGACATTACAGAACCCACCTTCTATGTTTTCATCCCAAGTGACAAATTTTCCAATAAAACGGCTACGAACAAATTCATAAGCAGTAGAATCGCAGAAAACTAAGCCAGAGAGCAAAATAATTTCTTTAACGAAAAGGAAAGAACAGAAAGTGAGAAAATAGGGTAAAAAGGAATGAAACCTTAGAATTCACGGCAAGACGAATTGAGCCAGTAGACGAATCATTTGAGCTTTTG